AATTCTTTTGCCTGAAAGCATAGTTTCATTCCTGACCTTGTTTTCTCCGTGCATCTTTACAGCCCAGCTGCTCGGAAAGTGAGGCTGTAGGGGTTGCTTTATGGTATATAGGCAAACTTAAACCCTAAACCTTAGACCCTAAACCCTAAACCCTTATAAGGCCAACCCTAAACTCTTTCAAGAGCACGGGGCTCTTGAGGTCCAGCAAACGACATGGCAGCTTGGTCTGTCTCTTGTACGAACGCAGCAAGGGCAGCGAGGCTCCACTACCCCGACTGCTGCACCACAAGAGGCTCGCTCACTTTTCACCTCACACAGCAGCTCCCGAAGCCCATTGGCCAGTCGGTGGTCCTACCTCAACCACGGAGGCAACCACACGAACAACACACACGACCAGAGACACATGCGACCTGTTGCCTGCATGTCTGCTGCTTCGCTGCTTCTTGTGTTCCGCCCTTGCCTACGGCATGTCCTGGAACCAACAAAGGCCAACAGCGACGGGTGCATCTCATTCGACACCTTTCATCACCCCTCCTTGAGCCACCTGTCAAGGTAGGCTCACCAGGCGTTTTGGCAATCCAACTGACTACCGTAGGTACCCATGCTCTCCAAGCGGTGGGTCCTCAAGAATGGCCGATTGGCCCTATACACCATCTTCTGTTGAACTTTTGGCCTCCCTTCTCACACAGCCAACGCCCAACATCCACGCCACGGCCCAACAAGCTCGCTCTTCTCGCAAGCCCATTCAGCCTGTTCTGGTAGGTCTCAAGCTTCGCTGTTGCCCACCATTCCCATGTAGCGACTGTCCACCGGCTTCTCGACAGCACCTGCACAACGTCCTCTGCTCATGCGTCTGGACCCCAATGTCTCGTCGTACAGGACGTTCAGGAAATAGGGCTGTAGGATCCAAGGCAACCATCTGCTTGCCCTCGGTCCAACTCCACCAGGTTCGCCCAAACCACCCACACGCACTGAGGTCACCCCATCTCTCACCTCACTGATGTAGAGGGTCCAGCTTCACGACGTTCTGGAAAATACTTCGCAGCCAAATGACGAAGCCTCTCTTCTTCTTCCAGGCTCCTTGCTTTGGCCAGCAACGCCAACACTTCACGATGTTCGGCTTTAAACTCCAGATCTCATCGCCTTCAAGCTCACCAGGTTCTTTGTAGAACCCTTCAAGCATTCCCACACGGCCACCACAGCTGTAACCAGTATCAAGACCACCAGCCACTTCTTTCAGCTGCACAGAAGTCGTCGCATCACCCTTAACCCCACACACCATAGAGCACAACGTAGCTAACTTCAACGCCCAATCAGCCTGGAACTTCACCCCTGCTTCTAGCGTCCTGCTGTTGCTACCGTTGACTGCTGCTGCGGGTTCACGACTGCTGTTGACTGCTGCGGATTCAAGACTGCTGCTAACTGCTGGTCTTAAACCCACCACGTGCCAGCCTATTCTTGACTGTGTCAGGAACTGCCCACGCTTGAAGCTGATCAGTGAAGTAGTCCTCGTCATTGCCAAATTTCTTTATTGGCTGTGCCTAAGAATGTTGCTGTGTTTAAGGGTTTTTGGGCTGCTGTTTAAGGAAATATTGTTGCCGAACAGGCGACATGCGATTTTGGCTGGAAATGATGGATGATCTGCAAAACAAATGATAGATGAGCTGCAAAGCTGTTGGGATACCCCGTGCTGGGCCAACGGGGGTGTGTGCTGTGCCTGGGCGGTTGAGTGGTTGTTGGAACAAATTGCCACCGAAATAGCAAAGTGTGAAGTTGGTACGATCTGCAGGTTGGCCGGCTGAAAGTTCGCCACCGAGTTCAGATGTGTGGCTGGGCTGTGGGGAGTGGTGGTACAATACCGAAAATGCATCCTGGGTTGTCTCCCCAGTGGCGGAATTTGTGTCGTTGACTTAGCGTGGTGAAGGAAACATAAATTTGTTGGGGATTAGGTTTCGGGGCTGGGCTTGCTTAGGCCACCAAATCTAAGGGGTCCCGAGTCCCGAGCTGGGTCTTGCGGTTCTGAGCAGAAACACTATGTCAAAGACTATCCCTGAAAGCATAGCCCCTCGCAGCAGCCGAACATTTTTTGCTTGTCCCACGCGGAGGATGTGAAAGATAGACGTGGCTTGTGCCGCGCGGGTAATGTGACAGGTTAATTCTGAAAACTTAGCCCTGCGCAGCGGCCGACCGAAAAGCGCTTCTCACGGAGGATTTTCCGGCAGGTTTTGCGAAAATCCGCTATCTCAGTTGGCCAACCGATGCTTGAGAAGTTTTCTGGTCCCGAACTTAGCCCCGCGCAGCGGCCGAAAATTTTTTTTGCTTCGCACAGAGAATTTCCCGGCTCTTTTACGAACCTCAGTTGGCCAGCCGATGTTCAGGAGATTTTCCGGTAACTTAGCCCTGCGCAATGGACGAAGTTTTTTCGGTCCGGGTCCGGATTTAAATCCTTAACCTTGGTTGGCCAGTTGACATTAAGGTTTTAATATCGGAGCCGAATTTTCTGGCCAAAAACCTTAAACTCGGCCAACTGGGGGTAAGAAAATTTTTCGGTGGCTAAGAACCTTTAACTCAGCAAATTTTCTTTACCTCAGTTGGCCGGCTGAGGTTAAGGAGGCTTTTAGTATCGAAGGAGGTTTTTAGTATCGGATCCGAATTTCTGTGCAAAAACTGGCCCAACACCTTAAACTCAGCAAAATTTCCTTAACCTCAGTTGGCCAACTGAGGTTAAGGATTTGGCCCGGGGGGACGGTGTGTAAAATATGTTTTTTCCTTAACCCTGGCCAGGAAAAAACCGGTTTTATACACCGTCACGGCCTTCAACACCAGCCGTGACGGTGTATAAAACCGGTTTTTTCCTGGCCAGGGTTAAGGAAAAAACATATTTTACACACCGTCCCCCCGGGCCAAATCCTTAACCTCAGTTGGCCAACTGAGGTTAAGGAAATTTTGCTGAGTTTAAGGTGTTGGGCCAGTTTTTGCACAGAAATTCGGATCTTATACCTTTCGGCCAGAAATTCGCGCCCGGGACCGGAAAAATTCCTTAACCTCTGCTGGCCAACTGAGGTTCAGGTTTTTTCGCCAATATCCGGACCGGGACTCCGGGGCCGGAAAATCTCCTGAACATCGGCTGGCCAACTGAGGCGAAGGCTTTTTTGCAAAACTGCCGGGTAATCCTCGTGTCTGAGAAGCGAATATTTTTTCGGCCGCTGCGCGGGGCTAAGTTTTCAGGGTTAACCTTTCACATTGTCCGTGCGGTGCAAGCCCCGTCTATCTTTCGCATCCTCCGTGTGGGCCAATCAAGTTTTTCGAAATCCTTAACCTCAGTGGGCCAACTAAGAGATTAAGCATTTTCGGGCAAGAATCCGGAGCTGTGGGCGGGCAAGTTCCTAGACCTCAGTTGGCTAAGTGAGGTTCCCCGAAGATTCCTTAAGCTCAGTTGGCCAACGGAGGTTACAGGTTTTTTTTTTCAGGGAAGAATCCGGAGTCAGGGCCAGGAAATTTCCTAAACCTCAGTCGGCCAACTTAGGCTGAGGATTTTCGGGAGAAAATCCGGAGCCGGGGCCGGCAAATTTCCTTGATTAACCTCAGTTGGCCAACTGAGGTTCAGGATTTTCAAGGAAAACATTCCGGAGTCGGGCCGGGAAATCTTCCGGGTTGAAGAAGCCAAAATTATTTTTCGGCCGCTGCGCGGGCCTAAGATTTTGTTTCTTTTACATCTGTGCAGAAAGAAAGCAAAGGTCAGGCCACCAGGCTCCAAAAGCAGATCGCGATGGTTCCCAGCAGCTAGATGAAATCCTTAACCTCATTGCCACATGAGGTTAAGGATTTCGCAGAAAAGTTGGAAACCGGTTGCAGACAAAAACTAGGAGCAGACAATCCTAGACGCCCTCATCATTTTGAGCCGCACAGGCTGTTATGGTTGGGAAGGGCGTGTGATTGTGGAATATGGACATCGAAAGAAAGCCGAAAACCGAACAAAAACCGGGAACCAACCCCCGAAGCAAAACCGAAGCAAAACCCAAGCCTTGAGGCCACTAGGGAGCAGCATGCCGCGAAGAGCTAGGAAACGGTGAATCAGCATTGCCAATGTGTTGAAGTGTTCCTGCAAGGCCGAGATCTGGGCATCTAAAGCCGCGCACTGACCGTCAACATCACGAAGGCATTGACCGAAAGCCATGTCCAACGAAACATGCCCACGAGCAAAATCGGATGAAGTAGACGATTCCATCACAGACGCACGTAAGGCCCGTGTGAAGTCATTCCAAGTCTCTGAATTCTCCGCCAGCGAGAGGTTCCGCAAGCGAAGATGAACTTCCAAGACATCGAGGCGATCACGTAGGAGCGACTGATCCTGTTGCACACGAGTGATCTTCTCCTGCATGGAAAGCAGAAGACCTTGGTTGGATTCCAGCGCCGCAATAGCTTCCCAAACTTCACTGAGATCTGAGTCCTGACGAAGCCGGCGAGCACCATCCGAACTGGGCTTGCTGGAGTTGAACCGCAAGCAAACTTGGCGTGGGCAATCCATGACGCAGCCAGGCTAACTAAGGCAAATACCTGCAGGACAAGCACCGAACAATTGGAAACAAGAAAACTGTAATGCGCAAGGAGCCAAAGCATGTGCCAGAAGAGCATGCATGCCAGACGCAGCCCACGTGCAGTGAGGCTGAGCTCACTACAAGGCAGCGAAATGTGCACCAACATGCAATGAGCGCAATCTTGGAATGCAAAGACTGAAGTTGCACAAGAAGCACCGGACATCAGAGCATGTCAAAGCTTCATGCAGCAGTGCCAGACGTGAGCCAATGCGAGTGCTCAAGGTACTGAAAAAGTCTTTGTGAATCACAAGAGACCAGCTGCTCAAAGAGAAATTTTTCACAAGCAAGCCAGTGCCGTGCGAGAGCTGCGTCCCAGCCGCTCACAAGAGCTTACTTTCAAGAAAGGCACAGCAAAAGAAATGCACTATCCGCTTTAGCTGTCAGAATACAAGAGCTGCAGAATCAGTCAAGCGATTCCAGTGGGCGCCCGGCAGCGGCTGAAGCCAGAGCGTCAGATGCCGGGTACTCCTGATTCACTGAATTGACCGAAGGCGCAGTCAGATCAGCTCGACTCACAGGATGGTAGCGCGTCGTGACCACATGGATGCCGCCCGGAGCGTTTTGCGATGCAGGACGAGACACGGTGCCCACAGTAAAACTCTCCAAAGGTGAAGTGCCTGTGCCCGAACGATTGTTGACTGCCAAGGGAGCTTCCATGTCCAAAGAACCAAGACGAGATGAAGCGTGCATGGCCCTCCCCAAGTTCTGCAGCCTGAGAACAAGTCCAGGATCGGTACTAGTCGTAGCAGGAGTACAAGAGACAGCCGAAGAGCTGGAAGCAATGGTAGTTGCAGCCGTGTCTGAAGACTCCGTCGCCGATGAAGGCACCTCATCATGACCCGATTTGCAGACCAAACAGTGTCGCCGATCTCCACATTGATGTCAACAGTTGATTGCAAGTGTTGCGAAAGAACCCCCACAAGGTCCATTTCAAGAGCCGAAGTGGGCCTGCGATGGCCAGAAATCTCCGGAGGTGCGTTGTCAGCGAAGCCGCGCCTGGTCATAGCCATGCTGCTGCGCACAAGGGCCAGCGTGTAGAGGAGCATCACGTCTCGGATCATTGCCACGTAAGGCTATGGCAGCCACAAGACGTAGCAAGGAGTAATGCGAACGAGCAAAGCAGTGTTTAGCCACCGATGTAGCCTGCCACAGCTTGCGCGAAGAAGGAGCCAGAAAATCCCAAATCACGGACGAGATCTGTGCTGAAAGCAGAGTTGCCAAGTCAGAAGCTGGATTGACAAAAACCCAAGCTGACATGCACAGCCCAAGTGGACAGCACCTATGGCTCAGATGAGATCACAGGATCTCCTCCCCACTAACTGACACAAAACCGGATACACCCGAAAGTAAGCTTGAACAGCTGACAGCTTCAAATGAAAGCGAAATGCCGAGCTTGCAAAATTTCGTTTCCTAAAATGGGAAAACGATTCAGCAAGGAAAACTCGGAAATCAGTTCGCAGAAAAACATTGAAGCATGTCTTCCGGGCTACATACCCCAAACAGCCGCGTTAGAAACACAAGCCTGCCCCACCTACTGGGCTGAGGAATTGTGTTATAGCATGTAATTAGAATATGAAGGAAGTTATAGGAAGTTAGCGTACTCATTTTTTAGTATAGCAACTCTTAGTAGTAGTTAGCGAAAGTTAGAAATAAGCTATAGAATTAGCTAAGATATAACTCTCCGTAACAGCTATGATGGAATATAAGACCTTATAGTGTTTTTTGTGTTGGCATGCTTAACAGCTAGTAGAAGTTAGTAGAAGTTAGCCCAAAAAGTTATATGAAGTTATCGGAAGTTAGCTGAAGTTACGTTTTGAGGTTTATGATGCAACCATGTCTATGTAAAGGCTATGTTGGGCAGGTACAAGTGCAGACAGAGTTTGTTGTTGTTGTTCTTTTTTTTTTTTGGGGGGGGAGGGGGCGGGTCGGGTCCAATAATGGCCCATGTTTTTGTCTTTTTTTAATAATCCATCTGAAGGATGGGGTTATAGGGGGTGGCTGTTATGATTTGGGATATTTGTCTCAGAGCCTTCAGCGGCGCGAGCCGCTACTATAGACTTGTTCGTTGCCAATTTAAGCGTGCATTCTAGCATTGTCGTCCACAGCGGCGAGAGTCGCTACATACAGCATTATACAGAGCGGCGAAAGTCGCTTCTGCGAAATAGACTTATTGACTTATTGTACTAGGACACTCTTAGGTTATAATTCTTTTGCCTGAAAGCATAGTTTCATTCCTGACCTTGTTTTCTCCGTGCATCTTTACAGCCCAGCTGCTCGGAAAGTGAGGCTGTAGGGGTTGCTTTATGGTATATAGGCAAACTTAAACCCTAAACCTTAGACCCTAAACCCTAAACCCTTATAAGGCCAACACCCTAAACTCTTTCAAGAGCACGGGGCTCTTGAGGTCCAGCAAACGACATGGCAGCTTGGTCTGTCTCTTGTACGAACACAGCAAGGGCAGCGAGGCTCGACTACCCCGACTGCTGCACCACCAGAGGCTCGCTCACTTTTCACCTCACACAGCAGCTCCCGAAGGTCCTACCTCAACCACGGAGGCAACCACACGAACAACACACACGACCAGAGACACATGCGACCTGTTGCCTGCATGTCTGCTGCTTCGCTGCTTCTTGTGTTCCGACCTTGCCTACGGCATGTCCTGGAACCAACAAAGGCCAACAGCGACGGGTGCATCTCATTCGACAAATGGTACAAGCGCTGACAGATGGTAGGGAGGTTGCAATGATACAACCAACGCCTCAGGTGGAAAACGAAGTGGTTCCGGTTCCAGCAGCAAATCCTTTCTGGAGCGAGCGGGCTCAAGAAGAAATGAGACTGAGGCAATCAAGGCCGGCAAGTCTTCCTGCGAGCGGAGGGGATAGAAGTGGTGAAGGTACGAGGAGGCCGCCTTCGCTGCAAGATCTTTTGGGTCAGGAACCTGCACCTGTTGAGAGACCATCGTCGGGCTTAATGGGCCAGATGGAACGAGGTACTATTGGTGGAGTGCAAGCAGACGAAGAGCTCATTCCTGATGTTGGTGGTGAAGAACAAAGTGAAGATATGGCGGTGGTAAAGCGTGCACTGAAAGAGTTGCTTGTGCAAACAAAGGAGCTGGGGAACAGGTTGCATCGGGCGGAGGAGAAAAGCTATACCTCTGCTGCATCTGGGTCAGCTTCAAGAGCACGGAGCACTGGAGTGGTGGACGCAAACACTGCATATCCTCTAGGAATGACTCCAGAGAAGCAGTACCTGCCAGGACAAGTTTTCTACACGGATGGTATGGGTGGTTTTTGGACTGTGTTGCCTGATGGGACATGGCTGCCTATTGAGGGCTACGACCTGCCAAAGGGTTGTGATCTTCAATCCTTGCCTGGGTACAGGAAGGGGGATGTTCAAGTGGAGGATGAAAAAGAAGTGCCAATGATGCATGTAGCTGAAGGGAAGAAACCCTCCAGATTGCCTCCATTGAATTACCCCACGGGAGGTCCTGCAAGTGGTGGATATGCAAGTGGACCGCCTGGTTTAACACATGTTCCGATTACTTCCTTGCCATCAGGTGCTGATGGTTCTGCCGCACCTGTGGGGAACCAGCCCGGTTTTGTTTCAGCTCGGGAAACTACGACGCAAGAGAACTCAGCAGGATCGGGTGGATATACAATGGTGGATGATGTTCCGTATCGGTGGAAAATGGTTGCTGGGAAGTTGGAATTAGAAAAGGTTCCGCTCACAGCTGTTACGCCTGGTATAGGACATGGACTACCTCAAGGGCCTGGTGGTAGGGTCAGTTTACCTCCTGGAGCAGTTGTGCCACGTGGTATGCCAATCATTGGTGATAGTTCTGGAACCGAACGTCCGGAGGCTCTTGGGAAGCATGTGATGAGCCTTCCAACTTTGGCAGACTACACACCAAGCAATCCGACGGCACTGGGTGATTGGATCGCAATGATCGAACCAATGTTGTCTTCGCTGACAGATACAGGAAGAGTGTGGTGGCAATGCGTCTACTCAAAGGCATATCAAGCGTATGCCAAATGGTTGAGTGTTTCTCCGCTGGAAAGGTTGGGCATCAAGGCTGAGATGGAAGGGCTCAAAGTGGTTCAAACTGTGCATGTTTTGTTGGAGCAGAGAGCGGTGTCTTTGCTGCTACAGGCGATTCCGGAGAGATTGAAGACCGAGATCGTTTCCACTCGAATGTTGGGATCAGTGATGATATTTTACAAATTGCTGACGGTCTACCAGCCAGGTGGAGCAAATGAGCGCAGCACAATGTTGAACTTCTTGGTACAACCATCTCCAGCAACCTCGATCTCAGAGGCCATAAAGGGAGTGCGTCAATGGGCGCAATGGCGTTCCCGATTAAGGGAGTTGAGAGCGGCCGAGCCGGACGCTACCTTGCTTATCCAGGGATTGGATGGTTTATCATCCGCGTTGCTGGCAAAACACCCTACGGTTCATTTCAGAGTGGCATCCTTTCGGGAGAAATTGGGGGTGGACTACTCGCCGACCTCTGAAACTGCGACAAAACTAGCTGACATGTTACAGGCAGAGTTTGAACTGCTATTGCATAGTGCTGGTGATCAAGAGGTGAAGCAGGACTCGGACGCCAAGAAAAGGGCAAGGTTAAACAAGGCCCAAAAGGGAACTGGTGACGAGACGGAGGAGGGTGACAAAGGCAAAGGGAAAGGAAAAAGGTACAGCGGAGATGGTGAACGTCCTTTCTGTTGGATATATGGGAAGACAGATGCAGGCTGCAAGTTCGGATCCCGCTGCAAATTTCGCCATGACAAAGACTCCCTTGAGCGAGGAAGATGTTTTGAGCGTGGGGCCGTTGGCCATCTGCAGCCGCAATGTCCATATAAGGATGGTGCAAGTTCCAATGTGGACTCAAATCCTGAGAGGAATAGATCTAAAGGGAATTCTCCCAAAGGGGGAAAGGGCGGCAAAGGTGCGAAATGGGGAAATGCCAAAAAGGCAGAGGTAGCTGAAGGGGGAGATGAGACGGCTAATGCGGGATTGGATAAAGGTTCTGCAAGTCCCTCATCACCATCAACACCCAATCAGGTCCTTGCTGAAGCGTTGGAAGTGCTGAAATCTATGAAGCTGTCATCAGCACAGTCAGCATCAAGCGGGGATCCCAGTGTTCGAATGTTATGTGGCTCTCGGCTGCTTCAGCAGGAAGGGAGAGTGGCGTTGGTGGATACAGCTGCTACGCATCTTGTGCGGACGCTTTTTCCATGGGAATGTTTACCAGACACTACTGTTATGGTGCAAAGCGCGCTTGGTGGTGTGACAATGAGGATTACAGAGAAAGGGACGTTGATTAGGGAAGACAATGGGCCCCTGATTATCCCTCTCTGGTTGATTTTGGAGTTTGTGGCGAACCTCACTGTGATCAATGGGATGTGTCACGTGGGTGCAAAATCTTCGCTGGACCAGCTCTTGTGGTTTGAACATGGCTGTTTGGTTATGGATTACAAAACAGCTGAAAAAATGGTTTTGCATGCTGAAAGGCAGCGTGCAGTCTTGGTCCCATTCTCAATGGAGGAATGGAAGGGCGGACTGTGGAGTCGGTTCGTCTGATGCCACGTTGTTGCCGAAGCAGGGAGAAGGCCGAGGAGTATGCGTTCTACATGTGGCCAGGGTTTCTGACACCAATGAGTGTTCGGGAATGGGCATGTTGGACTCGGGAGCATCACATCCTCTCAGATCACTTCGTCCTGGTGAACAGCTTCCGCAGCAAAAGGTGTTGGTGTCTTTAGCTGTTGGATCTCGGGAGATGTGTATTGCCCCAGGTGGGACCCTGGTAACTCCTGAAATGGTAGATCCACTAGTGCCAATTGGCAAAGCGAGCGCCTTGGTTGGTCTCAGAGTTCAGTGGCGTGGTGGCAAGTGCACAGCCTCACATCCTGTTCTGGGGGAACTTCGCGTTCGTGATCTGAATGGGTGCCCTTGTTTGGAAAAGGAGGTGGCGCTTCAGATCATTGATGAAATGGATTGGTGTTCACCAAAGCAAGCATTGAAGGTGGCACGTATGGTTCAAGGGTGTCCGAATACGGACAAC